GTGCATTTACCTACATGCAGGCAATACATGCATACATATAAAATAAAAATAATAAATAAAAATTTTAAAAAAAGAGTGTAAGTACTGGCTGGAGAGGTAACTTCACAGTTAAAGCACTTCCTATGCAAGCATGAAGACCGCAGTGTGGATGCCTAGAACCCAGGAAATGCCAATGGGCATGGAGTCCCTCCTGCAATTCAGTCTTCAGAAGGTATGACGCTGACTAGCAAAACTAACCATATTGATAAGCTCTGCGTTTGATTGAGAGACCCTTCCTCAATGAATAAGGTGGGAGCCTGATTGAGGATGATTCTTGACATCAACTTTAGGGCTCCACATGCCTGTGCACCCACACAAATGTGTGCCTACTCACATGTAAAAAAAATGTATTCGTACACACACACACACACACACACACACACGCACTCGTGCAAAAAGTGGAAAATGATAAGAAATAAGGGTTGAGGGTTGTGTGCCCAGCCATGGCTAAAACTACAGTCTGTGAAGTCAAGGAAAAATTGTCACAAAAAATTGGTTCAGTGATGGTCATGCTGCTTACTGTCACAACACCTGCGGCTGGCCTGGCTCTCACTCCTGTGAGCAATTGGCAGTGAAAACACTCAAGGAAAGAGCCTAGACTATCCTGAGTGGGAGTGACCATCTTGGGATGCATGTGTTCACTCTCTGTATTAAGCAGTTCTCAGCCAGGTGTGATGGCACATGCCTTTAGTCTCAGTACTCAGTAGGCAGACCTGGTCTATATAGCCAGTTCCAGGCCAGCTGGGGCTACAGGAAAACCCTGTCTCAAAGAGATGAAAAATAAAATTAAAAAAAAAAAGCAGTTTTCACAAGAAGACCCATGAAACCTCAACTCTTTGTCCTTGTCCCCAGGGAAGGATGCCTAAGCTCTCTCCAGGTGATATAGGGACTCTTGATCCCTGTCCTCCAAACTCTAAGAACCTGCTGTCTTCCTCCATAGAGCCAGCCTTTCTGTGGGGAGGATCTAGTACAACCCCTCTCCTTGATGGCCTGTTACCCCGAGAAGGAAACCCTGGCAGGGCAGGATGACTAGTGTCCTCGAGCCCTGCCTAGAAGGAAGAACAAGAAGCCTTCTTTGTGGCAGGAAAGCAAGAGGAGATCGCAGACTCACACAAGGAATTGGCCAGGGACAGAGAGAGGCAGGGAGTGAGTGATAGTTACAAGCTGAGGAACGCCAGTCAGGGCTGCTGGCGGCAGGGAACCGATTCTTCCCAGGAGTTTCAGCGAGGGCTGACCCTGCTGACGGCTAGATCTTGGACATCTGGCCTCCTGAACTGTGACAGAATGCACTTCTGTTGTTTGAAACACCCATTTGTAGTAATTTGTTCCGGCAGCCTCAGGAAACCAATATAGCATCTTTCCTCTTCCTCCATCAGGCATTAACCAGCTCCACCCAAATGGCTCCTGGCAAGGTCACTACCAACCTCCTTGTTGCCAAGACAGCTGCCAGCATTCTTGACCTGTTGTTACTTTGTGCTTCTCGCAGCTCTTTCTTCACCTGGAGCCCAGTGTCATCTCTGTGTCCCCTCTGGACACATGGCTTACTTCTCCTGGGCTTCTTGCCCTTAACAGGGTCCAACCTCAGCCCTCTACCTTGGTTTTCCCCCATCCCTCTGAGTGCTCTCATCCAGGGTCGTAGCCCTGTGTCTGTGTTGTTTGTGGTGGTGGTGGTCATACTAGGGATGGAACTCAGGGCCTTATGAATGCTAGGCAAGCACTCTACCCCTAAGCTGCACCCCCAGCCCAAGAGTCACAGCTTTCAATGCCATCTGTGCATGGATAAACTGCCCCCACTAACTCCTGTATCCCAAACCCCAGACTTGCAGATCCACCTGAATGTCAAACAGGTACTCCAAATGAACTTCCACCTCTACCTGCTCCTCCCTCCCTATCTCTCTGATGGCAGTCTCATCAGGCCAAACACCTTGAGTCACATCATGGCTGCCCTTTCTCATCTTACACACAATCTACTGATCGTGTGCATTCTAGAATCTGGCTGCCTCCCACCTTTTCCATAGCTCTTGCCCTGGCTCAAGCCCTGTCATCTCTCACCTGGACAACTGTCATGGCAGCTTGCCTACCACTAGCCAAGGGATTCTTCTAAGGTTTGAGTAGCCTTTCAATAAATGCACTGAAGTGTCAGTGTGAGCAGGTGATGGCTGGTGGCTCCTGACCCTGCAGTGGGGCTAAATGATGTCACACCACCCTCAGATGTTCTGCTCTGTACCTCAGGAACCAATCACATCTATGTTCCCATCTATAGCCTCCAAAGTCAGCCATGTCTGACCAGGACTCTGGAAAATGAGAAGCCAAGAACCTTGTCATTGCCAGGCATTCAAGTTAGCTGGAGAGAGTTGGGGTGCATGTGACTGAACAAAAGAAGTGTCTTTATGTGACACTGGAGTCTCTATCTGGAATCTAACTACAATGGCAACTGCCCTGGGAAGTCAGTTTCCAAGAACCTATTCCCATGTTCACATTCCCACCCAAGGCCTTTAGAATGTTCCAGTGAGAATGGAGTCCTGGACTGACTAAAAAGAAGAAAGTAATTCACCTTCTTCTGCTTCCTGACTGTGGATGCTATGTGACCAGCTGTCTCCCACCTTCCCCACTGTGAATGGACTGTACTTCCTCAAACTGTGAGCCACACTGAATTCTTCCTTCTGGTGCTTTGGTCAAGTATTTTGTCACAGCAACAACTAGCACAGATGTGACCTTCCACATGATATAGCGCTAAGTTGAGCACTGTCTACTCTAGGATGCGTGTCTAGGTATCTAGGATGGTACTGATGGAAACTCCACTGGAGCTGTGCAATATGCTTGCCAAAGGCAAACAAGCCCTAGGCCCCTCCTGACTGCTGTGGGTCTGTGTTCTGTATTGGGATTAGGATACGTGAAACATGGAAGCCACACCAATTCTCAGGGCTCACAAAAATATCAATGACCTTTTCCCACAGCAACAAGGTTGGGCTATTCTTAAGAAGCCTAGACTTGGTGGCCAGGTCACAATAGCTACAGTAACCCTCCAATCTGTCACCTCCCTGAGATCCTAGGTCCTGGATAACCTGTGTCTGGAAGTCCTAATCTCCACCCATACCTACCCATCCTTGCTCCAGGCAAATTTCACTGTGGACTTATACCACTTATTTCTGTCACCTGGGGAGACAGACTCACAGAACTTGCTTTGCTGGTTGCCTGGTCCAGGTCTGAGATGATCTCCTCAGGAAGGTTACCTCTAGATGCGTACCTGGTCACAGCTGCCAAGGGCACCGTGCCCTTGTGTTGGGCTGCATGGGGAAGACGGAGCAGCCAGGGACTCTGCACTGTGGATGCCCCCACCTGGCTATTGACTCCTTATCAGTGCCTAGGTAAAGCCTGAATAGAGGATGCAGAAAAAGCAGGGGTGGGGAGTGCTTCCAAAGAGAAAAATTTAGGAGTTCGTCCACATGTGCCTGACTACTCTGGCCATTCAAGTGTCTTCCAAATACTAATTTAAGAGGGTTGGGATGTGGAAAAGACTGGGAGAACCTGCAAGGCTAGGGACTGCAAGATAGTCAAGGTGCTTCTGACCTCACAGGGAGCTACACCTACCACTAACCACAGGTTGAATTGGAACTTGGAATACCTGGCCAAACTTGCCCTTGAAAACAGCCCCTATGTCGGTGGAGCTTTGTGGCTTACCCTCCTCTAGAAACAAAATACAGAGACATCAGGAGAGACCCTTGCAGGCAGGGAGCTGCCAAAATGAGGGCCTAACATGGGGGAGGATGGTTCCAGAACATCAGGACTCCTATTAACACAGCTCCCCATTCTCACCCACCCTGGGCAGCCATGGACTCTGCAACTGTCACCAGCATAGTGCCGCTGCACACAAGCTATTTCCACACAGTTTGAGAAAGGCCTTGCCTCTTTCTAAAAGGGCAGGCAGAAATCATGCTGACTCAGCACATCCTTCTCCCTAATGACGCTCCCACATTGTGACTGGGCAAGGCCTTCTCAAGACTGTGGTATAAAAGAGCCTCTAAAATCAGGAGAGAAACACTCAAAATCTGTGTCATAGTTGTAAAAGGTCATTGTTATCCAAGAGGCCACAGCATTCCCAAGGCTGCAAAGCTCAACTCAGTAATACTGACTAGTGTGTTAGAATATGATTAACTACAGAGCAAGACTGAAGTCTTGTCAATCAGAGAGAAACAAAGACCACTCATTCACCCACCTATTCATTCCATCCATCATCCATCCAACCACTCCATCTTCCATCTATTCATTCATGCAGCCACTCACTCCATCCATCATCCACCATCCATTCATCCATCCATCCATCCATCATCCATGAACCTATTCATCATCCATCCATCCATCCACTCATCCATCATCCATCTATCCACCATCCAACCATCAACCCACCCACCCACCCATCCACCCACCCAACCACTCATCCATCCATCCATCCATCCATCCATCCATCCATCCATCCATCCATCCATCCATCCATCCATCCATCCATCCATCCATCCATCCATCCACCATCCAACCATCAACCCACCCACCCACCCACTCAACCACTCATCCATTCATCCATCCATCCCCCCACCCATCTACTCATCCGTCATCCATCCATCCACCATCCAACCATTAATCCACCCACCCAACCACTCATCCATCCATCCATCCACCCACCCAACCACTCATCCATCCATCCATCCATCCATCCATCCATCCATCCATCCATCCATCCAGTCATTCATGCTATACACTGTGAGGTATATAAGCAGGCTCTGGCTAGAATTTCTCATTTAACCAAATATAGGCAAGAGTGGCCTCTGAGGATCTACAGTGGGATAGATATCTACTTAAAGACATGTTAGGTCCAGTGACTACATAAACTTCTGGTGCAAGCCTAGCTAAGACTACAGGGATATGGAGAAGGACACTGCCTTGGCAATGCAAGGGACACTTACGATCAAGTCCGTTCAAGTAGCGCATGCGGATCTCACAGTGGCCCCAGACGGCACTCACTACAGGATACAGTTTTTTACCCTTGAGTCCCCGAAAAGCCACTCCCATATATTGTCCATCCACGATAAAACTCAGGGTCCCGTCATCCATGTCCAGGGCCACAAGAAAGGAGTCAGGGACAATGAATGTCTCATCTGGCTCGAGAAATGCCGGGTACGTTTTACTTGGCTGGTTCTTGCCATTGTGGTAGAGACGGTTGCGTCCCAAGTCCCAGCCCCATGACTCGTGGTTATTCCCTACAAGGGTTGTATATCCAACAGAGTGCAGGGGGGCATCTGCCGTGGCCACCCCTACCACAGCGTGTGTGCCCCGTTGTCTCATGGCCCACGTGATCTGCCATACATGCAGCCCTCGTGTGTACCCAACTTTGCCCCTGATAGCATCTGTGCTCTGGGCCACCGGATGCCGGTGAAAGATCAGCTTGTCATCTTCCTTCACGAAGACGTTGAGTGAGCGGTCGTTATTGTTCCAAGAGTGGAGCAGCTGGACGTCGTAGGACACGGGGGGCATGTCGAGCAGCAGGTCCAGCCGGGTGGGCTTGCAATAATCCAAACCCTGGAGCTCCTGCTTCAGGGGGCGGTATGTGGGGTCCCGCATGTCCACAGTCTTGATCCCTCCTGTGACCTTCTGACCCATGTTGGCCTTTTCTTTCACCTTTCCACCGACTCGGAAGGCAAAGTCATCGGTCTCAAGGCCTCAGCTCCAGTTTTCTAATTGGGCCCAGACAGAATTCCTAAGGAAGGTTGCTAGGAGACCTCCACAGGTGGTGGAGCATTCAGTATTGCCTAATGGATGGAAAGAAAAACAGGAGGCTGGGTGAGCTGGGGTGCAGAAGCAGCGGGAAGGTTAATGAGGAACACAGGGCTACATACACCGATATGTCTCAGCAGCCTGAGGTGATGCGGCATGGAACCTTGGCACAGAATGAAATGCCCCTCTGTCCCTGTGGCTATGTTGTCACAAAGGGAAAGGGGCCATCGATCCCATGGTCTGTGTGGAGAGGTGGGCCTGGGGGCTGGCCACCGTACTCAATGTGTAGGGTCAGCCTGAGATACATAGCAGTTGCTGATCAGGTCTCTAGTTGGGGTTAGACAGAGGGCCAAAGTGGTATAGACTTTAGAGTGAGTCTCAACCCAGTACCAACCATCACAGCACAGGCAGATGAAGATACCAAGTCTAGCCATTCCCTCTTTTCCAGCACAGTCACCTCAGACACACATCAAGTCACCGTAGGGAGGGGACCCTCATGTAGACAAGTTCAGCACAGGGACTGTATACACACGCATCCACACTCCACAGTCCAGAGGCCTCAGCAGCTCCTCGGCAGGCCCCTTACCCACTGGACTGGAACCATCAACAAGGTTTTCCTCAAGCTCCCTGAGTGGGTCCCAATTCAGATGGGCACAGAAGGGACAAATTCATTCTCTAACCCTCGGGCAGTTCTGGGGCTGACTCACAGACGACCACCTGCATCGGCTGCCCACACTCTGTGGAAAGGACAGTGTCTCACCTTTGAGTCTCAACAGCCTGGTAGGGAGGAGGCCTGACTCCATGCCACCTCTTTCCTCTCTATCTTTACCACCTCCTGGAACTGTTAAGGGAGATGGGGAAGCAGCACTGGAGAGGGGATCTCACTGCCTTGGTCCCTGATGTCTCCAGTGGTGGCCTAGAAAAAGAGGATGAGGAGGAAGTGGGCCTGACAGCACCTCCCCACCTGTTGTCCAGATTTGGATCAGGGAAAACAGCAGACTGTTTGGACTCCTGGGTCTCACGTTCAATAAATATGCTCTCTGCCATCAAAGCCTGGGGGCTTGGGCAGCAGGGGGATGCTGGAGAGACGGCCCAGCAGGTAAAATGCTTGCCTCACAAGCATGAGAATCAGAGTTCAGATCCTCAGAACCCACATAAAAACCAGGGGGTGTGTGGCAGTTATCCCAGTGCATAGGTGATGGGGACAGGCTCTCTAGAGCAAGCTGACTGTTTAGCTACACCTGTGAGCTCCAGGTTAGGCAAGAGATCCCACCTTAGTATATAAGGTGGGGAGCAAATGCAGAACACCTCATGTCAACAACCTCCTCTGGCCTCCACACATATGGATATATATGCACATACCCCGCCCCCATATACACACTATGCTACATTAAAAAATAACAAAAAGCTTCCTTGGACTTCAGAAGGGACTTTGGCTGCCCACTGTGAGGATAGGTTCAAGCACGAAGGAGGCCGGGTGGGAGCCACTGAGCCGGGAAACAGGGCCATGATGGGTTACTTCTCCCAAAGAACTCTAGGGAACCTCAATAAAGTAGATGAAGGAAGAAGCATGGAGGTGGTGTGGGGAGGCTGCAGACTGCCAGGCACAGGCACAGCTGGGGACTAAAGAGCACTGAGCCTCCCATTCAGGGCGTGTAGGGCCAGGGGCAGGACAGGACTGCAGTGGGACCAACACACGCTATCTCCCTCTTGGTTGGGAAGGAACCCCATGAAACGATGTCTGCAGGATGGCCAGGGGTTACTCCCAGCATAAGGATCCCAGCACAATGTGGTGCCCAATACCCTTATACTGTAATCAAGTCATGCCCTGTCTTTGTGATACGGGGCTTAGACTTAAAGCCTTGTGTATTCTAAGCAAGCACTCTACCACTGAGCTACATCCCCAGTCCTCTCCTAAAGTTTTCTTTTTTGGTCTTTTTTGAAGCAGGGTCTCCCTGTAGCCCCAGCTGTCTTGGAACTCACTATGTAGACCAGGCTAGCCTTGAACTCACAGAGATCTGCCTGCCTCTGCCTCCCAAGTGCTGGGACTACAGGTGTGTGCCACCACGCCCAGCAAAGTTTTCATTTTGACACAGGGTCTTGCTAAGTTGGCCAGACAGGACTTGAACTTGCAACTCTCCTAACCCAGCATCTTAAGTAACTGGGATTATATGTCTGTGCCACCAACCACAGTCCTAATTTCAAGCTCTCCTGGCAGAGAGAGCCTGGGTCTGTGTGCAGAATCAGGTTCCTACTGCTGACCCCCGCAGCAGCCTTCGCCATGTGCCTCCATGAAGCATGCATGGAGCTGGAGGAAGCCATTTGAGGCAGCTTTCCAAGTCAGTGTTGTGCTGAGCATGGCCAGAAACAACCACCCCCCATCTCTCTTGCTCTGCATTGCCTCTAGCTTGGAGCCCAGGAGCCTCTACATCATTGGTTCTATGGGAGCCTGTAGGGTCCAGAGGTCAGCTCCATGGAGGAGGGGGGGGGAGGAGGAGGAGGAGGAGGGGGAGAGGAGGAGGAGAAAGAGAGAGAGAGAGAGAGGTGTTCAGGAGGATGGGTAAAGGGATCTTCTTGGCTATCCCATGGAGAAGCCAAGTCAACATTGGAGAGAATATTGGACCCTGTCTTATTCTAGGTAAGGGGAGGAGGAGGAGGAGGCAGAAGAGGGGGAGGAGGAGACATATCCTAAGTTTGTTTCAGTGCCTCCTGCAGCAAAGTTGCCGTGGCTGCTCCCAGTTTCATCATCACACAGGAAGGACCCCCTGTGAGGGATGACTCTCTGACAAGGGTAGGCCAACCACTCTTCCATATGTGGATGGATAATGCCATTCCATTATCTGAGACACTTTCTAGGTGGTCAGTTGCCATGGCAACTCTAGAACTACTCTTGACCCATTGAGATCTCATTAGCCTGGAAGATCCTCCACCCAGTGGGAACAGGTAGAACAGTCAGGAGGTGGTAGTGAGAGCAGGCAGGGCAAAGAGAGGTGAGGGCCGAGGCCCTCCCAGGACTTGGTGGGAAACAGGCAGGATGGAGGAGGTCCAAACAGCACAGGGAGGCTGAGCAGAGAACTTGAGATGACAGACAACTCAGGTGGAGATGGTGGAGACAGAGAGGAAGGGACGGAGGAAGGGACTAAGGAAGGGGCTTCAACATCCACTTAAACCTAGGCCAGGACACAAACAGCAGCAATTGCAGCTAGTAGCCTAGAGTCACCCCAGACAGGCATCTCAGCTGAAGGAATGCTCACACCAGCGTGGCCTGAGGGTATGGCTGTGAGGGCTGGAAGGCCCTGCTTACTGCGGGTGGTCAGGATGGGCCGGGGTCTTATAAGACTAGTTAAACGAGGGTCCTGCCCAGCCAGCAAGCAACGTTCCTCCATGGTGTCTGGGTCAAGCTCCTCGAGTTCCAGCCCTGACTTCCCTCCGTGATGGACTGTGACCTAGAAGTGTGAGCCACATCAACCCTTTCCTCCCCTAAGTTGCTTTTGGTCAGAGTGTTTTCTCACAGCAACAGAACTCAAACTAGATCACCTAAAGACAAGAAAACGTTCAAAGGCTCCACAGTAAACGTCTTGAACTTTGTGGGTCAGGCTGTGCAGCCAACTTCATCATCATAGCACAAAAGCCTCAGTGGAAGGCAAATAAACCGGCGAGCATGGCTGTGTCTGAACAAAACTTTATAACAGGCCAGCCTGTAGCTTCCAACCCTGAGCTAGACTATGGGCTCCCCTCCTTGTCTCCATAGTCTTGTGAAGGCAGCAGCAGAAGCCTCAGAAAGGCAGATTGGAAGAGACAGTTACCTCAGGGTAGAGCATCCACTGTGTGTCCAGGTCAGTTCCACAAGCTCATCTAGTTCTGAGGTGTCACCAACTACCTGTATTTGGCCCAGTGAGTCCTCAAACACTCACACCGTGCTGAGCTGCTTCCCTCCCTGGGTTTGTGGAGAGTAACACCCCCAGTCATGTGAATGGTGGGTGTCCATTGAAGGGAAAGTATGGGAGGGAGGAGCTGGGGAAAGGACTGGGGCAGGTAGAAGTACCCAGGGCATTGTGGGATACCTTCCTCACAAGGGCAAGCCAAGGGGCGTGGGTGTACCATTCCATCATCTGAGTCACCTTTAGGTGGTCAGTCACCGTGGCAACCCTAGAACCACTCTTGACTCATCTTCCATGCTCACCCTCCCCAGGACTAACAAACGTTAGAGCACACCCCGAGACAGACCTGTCTCCCAAGGTTTCCAAACTCACACGGCATGCCTGTATCTTGTGTGCCCACTAAGACCCACCCTTTGTTTTTCCAAGTTCTGTTGTTCATTCATAATTGTCACCTGCTTATCAATTAGATAAGCAATACTGTAGAGATGGCCAGGCACTGCTTTACTTTTGATGGTCTAGAATATGCTCATTCACTCAACAAAGATCTGTGAACCAGTCTTCCAGGTTTCCACACCTGGCCCAATGGATGAACGTGACCTCTGGCCATGACCCAAACACCTGACATCAAGACCAAGGTCTCTTCTAAGCCAGAGGTCAGTAAACTTGTTTTGTGAATGGCTGGATAGTAAATATTTTAGGTTTTTAAAACAATGTGTAAATAAACAGATGTGGCTATGTTCCAATAAAACTTTAAGGAAACAGACATTGAGCACTAAGTAGTCCTAGTCAGCACCCCCCACCCCCACTCTATCAAATGCTGGCCATCCCAAATAATGAACAGACCCCACGGGGCTGCAGAGGCCAGCTGTCACACACACACAGTCACAGTGCTGGTGATTCCAAAGGACCAGAGGCATTTCAAAGGGAAGACTGAGGAGGAGACATGGGGCCACTTGCTCTGTGGGGATTGGTACCCCCATCATAGCTCACATACAGCAGGGTGACTATCCCAATCAGGAGACTGGGTGTGTACGTGTGTGTCTGCATGCATGTGTAAACGTGTACGTGTGTGCGTGCATGTGGAGGAACTAACTACAGGTCTATTACTCCCATGAGACAGCAGAGGGCCAGTCACCTTACTAGCTGTGTTTCTGTT